AGTCCCAATTAGGGATGGCATCGGATCGAGTTCGGGGTAAATTTTATTTGCTTCGAACTCGATCCGATTTTATGATTTATTAAATTCGAATTCGATCATATCTGATTTTTTTTATATCCGAACTCGATCCGATATTACGTAAATCGTATTCGATTCGATTCGACCCAAAATTAATAAAATATTATTTTTTAAAATATAAAATATTATTTTTTAAATATAAATATTTAAAAATATAATATATAAATATATTAATTAAAAAATAATTTTTTATATAATATCGGATCAAATTTTAGACATACTTAAACCTGACTCTTCCCTAATTATACCTGACTTGACTCGATCCTAAATCTAAAATTAAAAAAAAAACTCGATCTTATAAAATAAAACCGAATCAAAACCCGTCGTATACGAGTTTGATTACCGTCCTTAGTCTCAACTTTAATCCCTTAGAAAATAAGGTACATGTTGCAGTGGCTCTAATTTTAAGACAAAAGGAGTTAGCCCATTTGCCAAAGCACTGTTGATGCAAAATTGGCCTTAAACCTTTCCCTTTTCAATGATTGAGATGCTATTGGAAGCAAAATTTTCCCTCATTTTATAATCACCACTCCACTCGCACTCCACTTTCTAAGAAAAAGGACAAATGATCATGACCCCCCCCCCCCTCTGCAGTCAATGATCTCTTGAAATGTTCATACAACATTTGGACCACAGATCAATGGCTCAAGAGAATTGATGAGTTGGTTGTGCACTACTGGTTTTGGTCCTTTTCCTTTAATATCTATATTGTACACAAAAACTATACACACACAATGAAAAAAAAAAAGAGAAATTAATACGTTTTAAATTTTAATAAAACTTATATATAAATTTAATAAAATTAAAAATATATAACGTATCGATATGAATTATAATATAATATTTTTTATATTTTATATATATTAGATATAAAATAAACATAAATAAATATATTATCAGTCCACATGTGATCACATCTCTAAAGCCAATAGCATGACAAAATTTTATGCCAATTGCCTAGTGTTTGCTTTGCAGGGGGAGTTACTAGGATCATGTGCACATCATGCATGCCATGATTATGGAAACTCATGCTCCTTTGATTTGATTCTGCAAAATCTTTTTCACATTTGCTCTGACCATGATATAAGAGGTTCTCTTATAATAAGAGGAAACCACATGCTTTGTTATGATTCTTCATATTTACAATCTGCAGTCTGAAATATGCCTATTTTGGCAATTCAAGAAGTGGTCCTAATCAATAGTGAAAATTTTGCTTATGATCTAATTTACTTTACACAGGATATCTGGATTTGCTCCATTTGGATAAGGTAATTGTTAAGTGGTGTTACTCATATAACCATGGGTTTTTTGTGATCTTATATTGGGTAAGGCATGAAATTCTGCTATGCATAATTGATATTTACTGCCATGAACAAGGCTTTGGGGTTGCTTAATTTAATGATCGAAGAAAATTCACTCACTATAATTGGAATTGTTTCAGGGTTTTGAACATTTCAATGATAGAATCACCAAGTCTATGGCATGTTGGCATTTTCATTCAAGTCCTTTTCATCTCAGCAAAGTAGCAGAATATAATTTCATTAATGATTTGTATGCAAAATAGTTCTATGAACGAAGTGTACCCTTGAACATCAGCTAACAAAATAAGTGAGAGAGAGGAGGTGGGAATTGAATTATTAGATATATGCACAGATGGGGAGATGATCTAACACACAGGCTAGGCATGTGAGCTTTAAATTTGCCTACACCCCATGCATTGCACAAGGGGCCAAAAAAGTCAAGCCATTAAAGAAAGCCTCAAAATCAGGAGCCTCCAACCAGCTCTTATGCAGATCTTCACAAGACTGGGGAGAGTAGGGAAGTAATGATAGATTTCACAATTTTAAATTTGACACCGTAATATAATATAAAAAATAATATAAAAATATATACAAAATGACATAATTTAAAATTTTAATAAAAATTATATATAAATTTAATACAAATAAAAAAATATGTTTCGTATTTGAAATATCAATAAAAATTATAATATAAAAATTTTTATATTTTACACAAAATAAATATATATAAATATAAGAATTATCATATCTAATTAAAAATCCGTTTATAATCCACTACCTTTAGAAGCTAAAGGAATTTTTGCATAATTTATTTGTTTATTTATTTATTTTTTAGACAGGAAGCAAGCAGGAAGTTTACTCTTAATTGTCAAGACATACATGAGAAAAATACAAGTTAAACTTTTTCAATTGCAAGGCATAAATTAAAAGAATGCTGAATTGAAACCTAATCGATCAAAACTAAATTTGTTTGGGAATTTCTAATCTTGCATTGCATGTAATAGCAATGGATGTGCTTAAGCAAAAGTAGGAAAAAAAAAGTGAGAAACTATTGACAGCTTGAATATAGCTATTAGAAATTAAGAAAAGAACTGATAAACATGGCACTACAATTCCTTTATAAAAGTAGTACTTTTATCCCATTTATAAGAATCTGATTCCCAAAATAACAGGTGATTGATTGGATTTGAAGTTTTTTTTAAAAGAAAATTAAAGAGAGAATTAATGTTTAAGCCTCAGTAATGGAAATCAGGTCAACATTAGAGCTGAAAGTTTTATTCTATGCAAAAAAGATTATTCTTTAAGGCATATTGAAAGAGAAAAAAAGTTCCTAGAAGATGCATGTAAATTTTTTTAGAGACTGCAATGTGTTTGATTCATCTTATTTATTCACATTTTGGGTCAATCATCATATCAAAAAAGTTGTATTCTTGTGGTACTTGTCAAGGGTTTTGAAGGAATAAGCAATCTTCATCATCATCATTTAAAACAAGTTGAAAAGTCATAACCATTCACACAATTAGAACTGTCAAATGATGCATGGTGAAAGGAACTTTCCGTGAAAAGTAAAGTAGGTTGGTTGTTTAATCTTACTTTTGTTTAACTCATGCAAGCAGAAGGAGCGTTAGTCAATTTAGTACAACTGGTTACTATAGGGCTAGGCCCTTGTTGAAGTAGGAAATAAAAAAAAACAAATGAATGGTTGGCATAAGCAATAAATACTGGTTTTTTTTTTTTTTTGCTATTTGAGAGATTGTGAAAAAATAATTTTTCGGTTAGATAATTAATTGGTTCAAATTAATTAGGAAGAAAAGATAATTTTTTTATAAATTATTTAACTTCAGTAGAAATAAATTTACTTAGATAAATTGGAAAAAATATTGAACAAAATTAAAAATCTTTTACCATTTCTAAAAAAAAAAAATTCAAAGGAGTTCATTAAATCCCTATTAACATAAAGGTATGCTAGTTAATAGGTTATCAAATTCTTAAGAACCATGAATATTATGCTTAACCAAAAATAAATTTAAATTTAAATGCTTATAGAACTCCCAAAGCAAATAAATATTAAAAGAACTTGTGGAACTTTATAGTAATTTTTTTCTTTTTTTTTTTTTTAAGTTACATCAATTATAGATCAAAGGAATATAATTTCACCATCCAAAATCATACATTTAATATCTCTAATGGAAAAATTTATTATTAATCATTAATAAAAATAACAATCACTAAATAAAAGACCCATAACATTCTATAAAAAAAAAAAAAAAAAAACCCCATAAAATTGTTTGTCGTTCTTCTAACCATGCATCATAAATTTTCAATAACTCATCATTTTCTCTATCTTACTAATCATTGAATTCAACTCACCCAACTTTCCTCTAACTTCATTCATGTTTATTATCTAAATCTAAAATTTACTTAATTGAAAATAAAATTCAGCGGAATATCCTAATCATTTTTCTTTTTTCTTTTTTTTTTTTTTAAGAAACACTAAATTTTATTTGAATTCTATGTTTTAGATTCAATTGGTTACTTATTCGAATAAATTATTATTTTGAAAAAAAGAAGATTTTAGTTTGAAACAAAAAAAAATTATAAGTATTAAAATTTAAATTTAAAACATATTAGATATTATTTTTTAAATATAATTGCATTAATTAATTAGACTAAACTTTGGATTCAATAAATTATTATTTTATGCACACTATATTAACATTCAAATTAAAATTTAAAAATTTCATGTCATTATATAAAGAGTTAATTATATTTTTACTTTTGAACATAATTTGAGAAAATGTAAAAATTGGTATATAAATAAATAAAATGTACAATTTACACCTCGAACTTTCAAATGATATATAATTTTAATGCAAATTTTTATATTGTTAACTAAACTTGCATAAATGATATCTAATCAATATAATTTTGTTTATGCATATTATTTGTTAAATAAAAATAAATAAATATTTTGTCAAAACTTTCATGTAATATCACTTGACAAAAAATATTAACCAATCCTAGATATTTTTTATAGTTCAAATAAATTAAAAATATATATTTTTATTTATATTAAAAAAATATTAATAATATACGTGATAAACATATAATTTGATAATATTTATGAAATGCTATGTATATAAGCTGTGTGGTTAATGGGATTAGATGTTGAATTAATTTGGTTTATAATTTAAAATTTTAGGTGCAAATTGTACATTTTTTTAAAGTTAAAGATGTAAATGATATACTTTATTTCTTTAGGTATTAATTAATTTATTTTTTCAAAATTCAAGTACCAAAAATGTAATTAACTCTTATATAAAAAATAAAATTTATTTAATTACATAATTTTATTATTTTAATTAGTTTAATTTTTTTTTAAATTATTAATCTACTCTTAAATTACTCAATTTTACAACTTATTTGATAAAAAAATTATGCACATAATTTTTTTTAAATTTATAACTTTTAAGTGGTAACTCCAATAATAAAAAATATAAGACAGTAAAAAAATGAGAGACTTTGTAATTATTTATTGAATGTGAAAAGATCATTGATAAAATTCTAATTAAGAGAATAAAAAAAAAAGCAAGCCAAGTTTTTTCCCACACTCCTATAAAAACTCCTCCACTTCTGGGCTCTCCATCCCACGGCCGTCAGCCACGCACTTCACCTCCCTCTAACTCCCGCTCCTTTTCCACCTCCTCAAATCTCTACGTAAATAAAAACTGTATTTTTATACGTATAAAATACGTAAATACAAACTTATATGAACTCTCTCTTTGCCTTCCTTTATCTTCTTTACTCTTCATGCAGTCGACAAAATGGGAAACCTTTGCACCTGCTTTGCACGTAAACCGGTGAAGAAACGACTCCTCACGAAACGGTTGCAGAACCAGCAAAGCGGACCCAACTCCAGCAACCGGTGGGCTCGGGTCCGATCGTCGAGGAAAGAACAGCTTGATGATACTCTGATTCAGGAGCAGGCTTTAGCAGCTGCGATCCTGTTCAGGCAACACCAACAGCAAAACGGGGGCGTTTCGTTGCCGTTTGATAGGTCTGCTTCATTGAGGTACCCCAATTCTTGTTCGGGGTCTAAGAAAGCGGGACAGCTGCCTCGGAGCTCCAGTTCTAGAGCTAGGTCCCTTACTGACCCGCTTTTGCAACCTCATCAGCTTGTTAACGAGGTTTGTGTAGTTTTCTTTTTAAATGGTGTTCTTAGGTAGGTTTTTTTAGGTAATTTATTGGGTAGAAATTGTTTTTTTTTTTTTTTTATTAATTAGGGGGGGGGGTCATTTTTGGTAAAGTAGGCTGCTTTAGTAAATGAGGTATTGAGTTTAATTTTTTTTTGGGTGAGTTTTTGTGTTCTTTTTGATAATTTTATGACTTTTAATTATGGGATGTATGGTGGTTATGGATGAAATGAAGATTATTTTCTAATTTTTTATTGGTTATAGTATTAGAATTTTTGTCATTTGTTGTTTATATTTTGTCAGTCGGCTGTTAAATTTTGGTAATATTTGCTGGTTCTTTTATCTTTTCTTTGGGTATTTGAGGAAAATGGAGTTTTCATGTCATTAGAGCTCTGGAAAATGAATTAGCAATTTTGGAACTTAATTTAATTATGTAAGTGTGTAGTATTACATTCCCCTGTTAAACCTTGCATGTTTAAAAGTTTCTTTTTGAGGTTTGCCGTTGCTTCTTTTTTTTTTTTTTTTTTTTTTTGTGATTCTCTTGTTCATAAATGCCTTGAGAACTCTTTTTGTGCACTGGTGTATGAATTTCTAAATCTTGCGTAAAACCATGGGAACCACACCTATTTCCATGGTGGCTAGTGGTGGTAAGGGAATGTATTTGGCACAAGAATGTCAAATTACAGATGTCTTTTTGGGAGATTCTTTGTTCCATTTTTGCCTCACATCGTGGCGGACATTTAAGGTTTTTTGCACCATGGCAATGAGCCTCAGTTGCACAATATGTGGTGGAATAGTTTTATGGCATATGTTGAATTATTTCAGCAGTGACAAACTGAATATTAAGGATGTTTCTGGTCTACTTAGATTAACATTGCTCATTTATTTATTTATTTGACTATTAATGATGAGAATGGACTTAATGAAACAATTACTATTGATGCTCTTTTACTCAGTTTGTAGTGCTGCAAGAGTGAGTTAAGAATAAAAATGAATGATTCTTTTGTTGTTTGTAAGAATGCCCATACATGTGCAGTTATAATGATGCTAAGTCCCACAATTGACCATTTAAGGGAAAATTTGTTAAATTCCAAGTCAACTGGATAAGATAGAATTATATTCAGAAAATTTCTGGACAAATTTATCTATCTTATAGTGTTATTTTGCACTATTGTCTATTGTTTGGCACTACAGCCAATTTCTTTTATTATAATTATTTTTATGGCCTAGTCTAAATTCTACCAATCCGTCAATAGTTTTCCAAGAAGACTGCATATTCACAGGTTCTGTTTAATTGGCTGTTCTTGGTTGCCATTTCACGTCAATTTGTAAATTATAATATAGTAACTTTGCTTGGTTAGGTGTACTTTAATTCTTTTGAGTGTCCCTTATGATTTTTCTCATTTTTTGTCTTTGACAGGATGTAAAGCTTGATACCTTGGAAACAAATCATTTTGTCCTTGTCCATGGGGGAGGCTTTGGTGCTTGGTGTTGGTATAAAACAATTGCACTGCTAGAGGAAGGTGGTTTCAAAGCTACTGCTGTTGATCTGACTGGTTCTGGAATTCATTTATTTGACACAAATGGCATTACCAGTCTCTCACAATATATGAAGCCTCTAACTGATTTTCTTGAAAAACTTTCTGAAGGCGAGAAGGTTCTTTTCTATTTCTTTCTTTCTTTCTTTCTTTCCTTGTATTAATTTCTGTTACTTATGCTCCCTGCTCCCTTTTCAGCTTGTTTCTTGGTCAGAAGAGACTTTTTCTTATGGAAATTAAATTTCAAGCTTGTTAATTAATTCAAGATGTGTCCTGCTCAGTACGAAACTTTAAACCTTGGGAGGTTCTAAAATAGTTAATATAACCCTTTGTGGGGTATATAAAATTTTATTTTATATTGGTTGCTAAAGTATTATACTGGTTTTGGCCAAAAAAAAAAGTATTATATTGGTGCTTGCATGTTTCTGCTACCAATCTTTGTGACACATTCTTTACAAATTTGCATTCTCGCTGTTATTGGAAAGTTTGAGATAGTTAAGAGATCAAGAACAAAACCTCATTGCTCATAGCCTTGAAATAATGCAGGTGATCTTGGTGGGGCATGATTTTGGTGGGGCATGTATATCATATGCAATGGAGCTGTTTCCTTTTAAAATTGCAAAGGCTGTTTTTGTGGCTGCAGCAATGTTGACAAATGGACAAAGTACTTTTGATATATTTGCCAAGCAGGTTTGCATTGGTTGGATCGTTATAATTTCCAAAAGTTGGTATTGGTTGAATCGTTATAATTTCCAAAAGTTGTTAATCTGCAGAAGCCTGCTAATTATGTTGGACTCGAAAAATACACCCTAAGAGATTGTCTGTTTTAAGTGTCTGTAGTTCAAAATTCAAATTGCTTCTTAGTACTTTTGCTGAACTTAGTGATTTGCATGCATCTTTGGCATTGGCGTCTTGTTTCCCCATATGTATCTGCCTTGGCTCTGTTATCTCTAATCTTTGAAGGAAGTGAGGCTTACCTTTCTTACATATCTTCAAATGGGTATCCGTTCTGCAGAAAAAAAAAAAGGGTTAAGTATAGTAAGACATCCATATAGAATAAACCTTTGAGATTTTGAATAGAGAATGTCAGATTTATTCTTATATTCCATTTTTAGTTGAGAACAAACCTTTGAGAGAGGGAGGGAAATCTAACTTCCTATGAGATTTATTTGGATTGCTGAAAACCTTTTCTTGTGTATGTTGAATAAGTACCAAACAACTTATTAAGGAAAAAAATCTGAACTTGCTTTGAAGTTCCATATTGACTTCTTTATTCAAGAGAAAGGAATTTACTTGAGCATCAAGTTGCGTTTTGTCCTAGTCATTTCATCCTAGATAGAACATGTTAATGGGTTGCTCTAATCCTAGATAGTACTTGTTAATGCTTTCTATGAACAGTTAATCTAACTATTTGCACTTTATGGCTTTATGTAACTAGTGTTAAAAACTTTTGCAGGCAGGTTCTAATGATCTAATGCAACAGGCTCAGATATTTCTGTATGCTAATGGAAATGACCACCCTCCAACTGCTATTGATCTAAACAAGTCTTTATTGCGGGATTTGTTATTCAATCAAAGTCCTTCCAAGGTACATCTGAACTCGCAATTAATGATTTTTTTTCTTAATTAATTGAGTTATATGTCATACAATTAGATCTTTTGGCATACTAATTAGATATTTTAGTATGCTGGCATGCAACAATGTGCATTTATTTGCATAACCACATGCTTCTCTGTATGAATGCAAACAAAGATTTTGTATTTAAGTGGGTCTGTGTAAGCATTATGTCATTAGTAGCTTGACATCTCCAGAGAATATGAAATGACTAGTTATGCTGGTTGTCTGCTTTCACTTTAAAGTAGAAGGTTCATTGGAAAACAACTTTTATAATAAATATGTTAATGATCAGGTTAATTTGCTGCTATTGTGAAATGGATTTAGTTTCTTTCCTGGGCATCGGATAATGCTGTTTATTTCTTTTTGTTGCCTCATCACTGTGTCACAATATATTTGACATGGCATTTTAATATAATAGACTACTCCCCAGTGGATTGGAGAAGAGTAAATCCATTTGAAAAAAATGACTGGTTAAGACTTAAGAAGGTCATTTGTTGGTTCCACTTAACAAGTGAATGATTCATCAAGCAAATTTTTTTAAGTATTACTTGTAATAACTGCTAAGATTCCTAGTTCTTGCCCATCACGGCAAGATGTTCTAAAAGCCCATTTTAGATTGCTGAACTAAAAAACGGATCTGTAGTGGGGTTGTACATCTGGATGCTACCAGCTATACTTTGTAGCCTTTGTAGTTAACCCTTCTAACTTCATTGTCTAAAACTTTCTGATTAATTTAGTCTTTTGATTCTTTATTGTTCAAATTAGTCTTTTTCTTTTGTATGTGTGTATGTAATGCATTTGTGGTCATGTGCAACATGTTGTTCTTTTTCTTACTCTCACTACCGCTGATTTTATTTCACTTTCCCTGGTCCAGGATGTAGCATTAGCATCAGTTTCGATGAGACCAATCCCTTTTGCACCAGTTTTGGAGAAGCTTTCTCTTTCTGACTTGAAATATGGATCTGTGAGGCGTTTTTACATAGAAACTCCTGAAGATAATGCCATGCCTATGGTACTTCAGGAAAGCATGATTAACTCAAGCCCACCAGAAAAAGTATTCCGACTAAAAGGTGCTGACCACTCACCATTTTTCTCAAAGCCTCAAGCCTTACACAAACTATTGGTAGAGATTTCAAAAATCTCTTCACCTTGAGAGAATCTAATTGTTAGATGTTTTATGGAAGTGCCACTCGGGGCTTCATTTGATGTGGTATAGGGAAATTATTCACTGAATTTGAGTGAACGTATATATGCACATACCATCAAAAATGGTGTATGGTGCTCAACCACTAGATAGCTTAGACCTCTGTATCAGAGCACAGAATATGTTGATATCTTTTTCCTTGGCCCTTTTTGTTTTTGTTTTTGGTTTTCCCTTCAAGACATATTCATATTTATGCTAGTGAAAGATTCACACTTCAAAATAATGCGATACAAGCTATAGTTTTTCCCAAGGCTTGGTGCATACTAGAATGCTTGTTTTGTTAATATGGTTGTTGAATCGAGTTCTCTTGTAACATGATGCATCTGAGCTTAAACTTGTTGAATTGCTGAAATAAAAGGTTGATGATTTATTGTGGCTTATAATCACTAAGGGATAAGCAGTTCTGCTTCTCGTTGTTGATGACTCTCCCTTCGGAGAACTAACAGGCACAAACAGGTGCGGATGATTGCATCGTAAAACAATTCTGTAGATTTTGAGCCCTGGAGAATATGCTAAACTAATTTCAGTTGGTATCTCCATTGGCATAAGCAGGAAAAGGCAATCTTGCTGGAAATATCATCATATTAAATGCTTAATACCCTACACCTTGATCGCTTGATGGATATGGCTCCCACAACATTGGATCACATTTGCGGGCCGGAAGCCACTGGACTATACCACCACAAACGTTCCATGTTACTAAATGGAGTTTAAGAATATTTAGTAATAGCATTATGACTTTAGGTGAAACTATGAACATAGACAGGCAGGTAGTCATATTTTGCCACAAATCTTTCTCGAAGATGAGAGAATGTAACCCTTTTTTTTTCCCTGGAAGAAGGTTAGAATTTTAATTGATGAAGAGAAGGGGCAAGTAGTAGAAGAATTCCATTAGTTTCCATCCACAACCACAATTTCACATCACTTAATGTTTCTTTTTTATTTTTATTATCTTGTGAGCCTGTTAACAATATTTTAATAAAAAAAGCCGAGAGTAAAAGAAAGATTTTATTAAATATTACATTTAATTAAAAATAATTACATGAATCAATTGAATAAATTTTAAATTTGTTCATCCTTATCCTTACAATCCCATCTGCAAAATGAAGAAAAAGCAAATCTTAATAGACAGAAGAATATCAGTATCTGCCATAACAGAATTCCCCTCAACTCATTACATGTTTTCTAAACGAAATTTTTAGAAACGAATGTAAAATAATTAGTGATGGCAACGAGTCGGGGCGGGGCGTGTTTTTGCTCGCCCCGAACCCGACCCGATTTTAAATATATAATACCCAAACCCGCACTTGACCCGATAAATTTTTTTATTTTTAATATCCGAATCCGACCTGACTCGATATTATATAAAATTAAATTCGACCTGATTCCGATCCGAAATTAATAAAATATTATTTTAAATATAAATATAAAATTAAATATATATAAAAAAAATATATAATTAAATATAAAATTAAAAAAATAATTTTTTTTATATATATCGGGTTGGGTAGGGTCGGATTTGCCTAAAACCCGATCTGACCCCGAAAATTTTTTACTCTACCCGACTCCGACCCGAACCGATACCCGATTTTTTAAAAAAAAAAAATCGACGCTAAACTGTCGGATCGGATCAAAACCCGACGAGTTTGGGTGTTTTACCTTCCCTAAACATAATATGCATTAAAGAAAGTAAAAAGGTCAACCAAATTAAGACAAGAATTGGATTTGAATTAAGTTACTAAGGATGTCGGTTGGTGATTATTACAGGCAATTTTAGAAACATAAACTTTGTAAACTGCTTTAACGAATGAATTAATGCCTATTTAGTTATTAGGCCAAATGCAGCGGTTGGTGGAGTTTATTTCAACTTAACAATTTTAAATAGAATATCATATAAAATATATAATTTAAATTTAAATATTTTTATATTTAATATATTGATATATGATAAAATAATTTTTATATTTTATATTTATTAAATATTAAATAAACATCTACGTATAGACTATTAGAGTTTATTAATTTCATTTCATGCTGGCCAAAATTTTTTTTTTCTTTTGGCATTTAAAAAGATATAAAAAAAAAAAAGTTAATAGACGGTAATAAGTATAACCGTCTATATAATATAAACATATAATAAAACTACAAATCCAAAAGTGCTAGGGTTTTTCATGCTCTCTGTTTCTCGCTCTGCCCGGCCCAATAACCGAAACGAAACTAGGGTTTTGTAGATCTTCAAAACGATAATGACGACCGTCGTTCCAACCACCGAAGAAGATGCCGCCCTCGCTGTTGTCCGATTCACCGCTGAAATCGCTTGGGCCGATGCTGGTCCCGATGTAATCTCAAATTTTTTCCAAAAATCTAATCTGAAATAAATTATTTTTTCAAATTTTTATTAATTTTTTTGTTCAATTATGGTTAAAGGTTGCGGAGCCGCAAGTGACGAGGCTGTGTATGGAAGCACAAGAGTGTATGGTGATGGGAAGATGGTTGGATTTGGCTTCTTTAATGCTTACTTCTGCCGATTTAGTCTTTTCCAAGGTCTCCGATAAAGGTGCGATTTGTTTTCGTTTCATTTATTTCAATAATTTAGCAGATTTATAAATTGAAATAAATACTATTATCTCCGTTCACACCGCGCTTCCATGGAGATTGCTGAATCTTAATTTGAGTTAGTATTAGTTAATTGGCTGAGGATTTAGCTGCTGCTTTACTGTCCCATTTGCTAAAAACGTGTTTGGATATTAAAGCGAACAATGTTTTGGAGAATTTACAAATTAAAGATTGAACTTTTGGAGAATAAAATGGTTGATTTTATTTTTACAATGGAGAAATTATGTTGGAATTGGTTTTGCGGTTTTGTCTTATGTTCACTTTTAATCAATTAGGATTTTTCTTTTTTTCTGCTATTTAGAATGTGAAAAGCAAGAAGCAAAAACCCACAATGGAGCCTTATTGCATTATGATGTTTTAGTTCCAAGATTATAGATACTTTTCAAATTATGATATTGTAACAGTTCATAGTTCTGCAACTTATTTTTCTGAAAAGATAGGTGAGATCTTGTTGTTCAAGCCATCGTTTGTTCCCTGTGAATAACTTTTGTGTAACTAATGTAGGTAGGAGTAGGACAGATTGAATTGTCATATGTACTTACTGTCATTATGAAGTTATAAATATTCATTGAAGTTCTAGTTTTACAAATAATTAATTTCTTTTTTAATCTTTCTTCAGATCTTGAGTGTACCTTCACTGTTATCTGTGATCTTGTCTCGAAGCTCGAAAATCCAGATGAAGAACTTGAGGTGGCAAAACTCATATCCACAAAAGTCACCCAACAACCAAATGAAAAGCCTGCAATGCGTTTAAAGATGTAATGTTCCACAATGATCTATAATTCTTGCTTATATAATTTTCAAGGCTCTTTCTGATGTTTCTAGTTTTTTTTCTTTTTTATTTTTTCCAGCTTGTTTAATCTCTATAATTTGTTGGAGGGCCCAGATAGCCGGTTCTTTGTATACATGCAAGCCTTAAATTTGGCATTGAATGGGAAAGTCACTGATCATATTATACCTTCTTTCAAAAAGATTGATAGTTTCTTGAAAGAGTGGAATATTGGGGTCAAGGATCAAAGGAACCTCTTCCTTACCATTGCAAGTGTACTGAAAGAAAACAAAAGGTATATAGGAACCCCAAAGCATAAATTCATTTGCCCATTATCTATATGTGATTATACCTGTTCTTTTTTATTGTTTGCACTCTTACATATATTTCAACTTAATGGCTTTTTCTGCAAATCCAGCTCAGGAAAGGATTCTATCAAATTCTTGACCATGTATTTGGCAACTTTCTCTAGTGAGGACTCATATACACTGAATGAAGCCAAGGAGGAAGCTGTGCACGCAGTCATAGAATTTGTGAAGGCACCTGACATGTTTCAGGTATCTTACCAAAGTTGCAGATCCTGGCTGATCTGAATACATATGTTTCTTCATTTTAAGCTTATTTTGTTCTAGTCATTTCCATGCTTCTTCAAACAACCCTCCTTTTTTTTTTCTTGCATTTAAACTTTTTTGTTTTATGTTATCCCTCTAGAGCTTTTGAAATATTTGGCTTGTCTTGTGTCCTACATTCTAGCAGAGTACCTGCACGAGCATTTAGTCTTCTGCATTCTCCTTGTTTTGCTCAGAGTTAGTTGCTTGTAGATTAATTCTTGTTGTCATTTTGCAGTGTGATCTATTAGATATGCCTGCCGTAGGGCAATTAGAGAAGGATGCTAAATATGCATTGGTCTATCAACTTCTGAAGATCTTTCTGACTCAGCAGTTGGATGCCTACTTGGAATTTCAGGCTGCAAATTCTACCTTAATGAAAAGTTATGGTAATGCTTTATCTTTTGCCTTTACACACTATAATGGCCTATTGTACGAGCTAAAGTCCCTACAAATTTTAATATATCTCAATATTCCATGGTTCAGGTCTTGTCCATGAAGATTGTATAGCAAAGATGAGGTTGATGTCATTGGTTGATCTTGGCTCTAATGAATCTGGACAAATTCCATATGCCCTCATCAAGGATACTCTTCAGGTAAACTTGCTTAGCTACCTCTGCACCAGATTTGCTGCATAATCTAGGGGTTTTTTTTTTTCTTTTAAACTGATGTATTTCTCTTTGTAGATCAAAGATGATGAGGTGGAATTGTGGGTTGTTAAGGCAATAACTGCTAAGTTAATGGACTGTAAAATGGATCAGATGAATCAGGTTGTGATTGTGAGGTAAGCTGTTAGTTCTCTCTCTCTCTCTCCTCTCTCTCTCTCTCTCTCTTTGTGTGATGCATGTGTGATTCAAGTTGATCTGATTTTCTGGCAAAAAAATGTTGGTCTCATTTCATCGCTTTCTTGTCCATGGAATTTATCTAGAATATGCCTTTTATTTATCTTGACAATTTGTTTAACATGCAGCTGCTGTACTGAGCGCATTTTTGGACAGCATCAATGGCAGTCTCTTCGATCAAAACTAGCAACATGGAGGGTAAAGAATTTCACACAATTGATGCTTCATTTTTTTCACTCAAGTTTCTTCTTTTTTCTGTGATATTTACCATACGTGTAGCAGTTGGCAAGGAAAATGTTTCTTTGATTATTACCTAGCCATTTATCTGTTTGAATGTTCACAGTTTTTTGGTCTTGGTTGAAAATATTTCCAATGTTCTGCATCATCTATGTACTTGTCAGTAACTACTATTCCTTTCATCGGATATATCAATCTGATTAAAATTTGTTTTAGTATAATATATCTTATCGAGTCGAAAGCAGTATGCATCTTTCATTTGATTTAACTTGTGTTTGCATTTTCTAGTGACCCTATCTATTTCATTTCCCAGGGTAATGTTGCCAGTCTCATCAGCACCATTCAAGCAAACAAGGTTGTTGAAG